GGATACAACCTTGATGGACTGTAAGTTGACTCTGTCGGTCATGGTAGGGCTTGTCTCCTTCGAAACGTGCTGACCAACCTTTAACTATTGAATCATAAACTCTGGCTAATATGGGATCACGCTGTGTACTCTTTAGTTACTGATTCACTGGTGACTGGGAGAATGTTTAACTGGGTTGCATGAAACACTTCAGCTGCATCCAAAGCTGTAATATTCCGTCTGCATTACAGTGTTCTTTCGTATTCTTGTACTCAATGTCATATTCGAATCCAGCTAGGAACAATGCATAGCGTTGGAGTCTTGTGGCCGTCATGATGGGTATTCCTTTTTCTGGATGGAAAATGGATGTCAGAGGTTTATGGTCAGTGACTAGTGTAAACCGTCGCCCATACAAATATATGTGAAACTTCTTGACCCCCCACACAATTGACAGTGCTTCCTTGTCAATCTGGGAATACTTGCACTCCAAGACGGTGAGGGATCGGTATGCAAAAGCCACTGGTCTTTCACTTCCATCGTCCATAACATGCGACAAAACTGCGCCAATTCCGGTTGGTGAAAGCATCACATGCGATCTTAACTGGGAGCGTTGTGTCATAGTGGGTTAGGACTAGGTCAGAGGTTATCAAGTGCTTGGCATTTTTAAAAGCTTTCTCACATTATTCAGTCCACTTCCACTTGTGATTTTTCTGAAGCAATACGTGAGTGGATGCAGTGAAGAACTGAAGCTGCATTGGGGAGAAACCGATTAAAGTAATTTACAAGTCCTAGGAAGGATCGAACTTGTGACACATTCTCGGGCCTAGGAGCGTTCACTACTGCCTCGATCTTCTCTTGGGTTTTGTGTAAACCATTGGCATCAATTTCATGGCCACAAAACACAACTTTCTCCTTGAAGAATTCACACTTCTCTTTGTTCGCTCTCAGACCTGCCTCTTGTAATCGCTTTAGGACTTTCGCTAACCGTTCTAAGTGCTCTTCATTGGAATTTCTGGTAATTATCATGTCATCAAGGATACATTGTGTTCCAGGTATACCCTGTAACACCTGGTCCATGGCACGTTGCAAAATTGCTGGGCTTGACGTCACACCGAAAACTAACCGCTGATACTGAAATAGACCCATACATAGATAAAAGACATGCGCCGCTAAGACGAACCAAGATCACGAGACCCCCAGCACCATGGCTCAAAGATCCTACCATCCAAGATCTACAGGAGCAAAGAAACGTTCTCCGAGCCAGTGCTCGAAGAAGTAAGGATTCCCAAGCGTGGGAACTATTTCGTTCAGCTCGCAACCGCCTCAAAGCATTAATTAAAACTGCTAAAAAGAAATTCACGCAAAAAATGCTTTCTTCTAAGAAACCCAAGGAAGTATGGAAAGTAATACATCGCATCTTGCACCCAGAGCCGCGTAGGATCACCTTCCACCCTGACAAACTCAATTCTCATTTTACTTCAACGGCAGAACGTACAATCGGCACTGACGTCAATGATAATAACAACAGTTACGACACTATAAGAAACATGATCGATTCGCTTCCCTCAGACTACGACAATGGCTTCCATATAAATCCTGTCACACTGGGCGAAGTTGTAAATGAAATACGTTGTCTACGAGGAGACTGTTCCACAGGACCAGATCACATTCCAGCAAAAATGATCAAAATTGTGGCCGAATATTTGGGTTCTCCATTAACCGATATCATTAACACCTGTATCGCGAATCGAAGCTTTCCGTCCGCGTGGAAGATTGCGCGTATTTGCGCAATCCCAAAGGTTAAGCAAATCACCTCTGAAAATGACCTGCGGCCTATATCAATCTTGCCAGTACTGTCGAAAGTGTATGAACGCCTAATCTTTCGCCAGCTTTCCAAATTCATCGATGATAACAAATTACTGAGTAGTACCATCTCTGCATATCGAAAGGGCCAATCCACCACAACGGTCATGCAAGCCATACGAGATGACATCACGAAAGCAATGAGTCGTGGAGAAGTCACGATGATGATCTTCGCTGATTTCTCGAAAGCTTTCGATACGATCCGTTTTAAAAATCTCATCTCGAAAATGAGCAAACTGGGCTTCTGCAAGGATTTTCTTACATGGACACTAAATTATGTCTCACATCGTAAACAGTACGTTCAGATTGATGATATTAGATCGAATACAACAAATGTTAATTTCGGCGTACCACAAGGATCGATATTGGGGCCGGTTTTATTTAATATATACGTTGCCGACCTTCAAGAAATTATCGACGCCAAAAGCCATCAATATGCTGACGACACAACAATCTATGAGCATGCCAAGGTCAAACATATTCATAGATGTAGAGAAACCATATCTGATTCAATGAAAAAACTCAACGACTGGTCAAGTAATAGCAGCCTTGCCTTAAACCATAAGAAGACGAAAGCAATGCTTTTCTCAACTCAACAAATGTCAAGAGTCCACCAATTGGAAAATTATGAACCTAGAATATTTGTCAACGAACACGAACTAGAGCGCATAAAGTCATGCAAGTTGATTGGCGTTCATTTCAACGAACACCTAAAATGAGACAACCATATCCGTCACATAACATCTGCCTGCTACGCCATCTTGCAAATATTAAGGAAACTTAAACATCTAGCTTCTTATTACCTTAGAAAGCAGTTAGCTGAAACGCTAATATTATCCAAATTGGATTATGCTGATGATGTTTTCTATCCACTCCCGCAGTTTATCAAGGCGCTTACAGAAAGTTCAATTTGCAACTGCTAGTTTTGTCTTGGGTCGATATGTTAAAGATCAAAAGGATATCCTGCAAGTTGGATGGCTTCCAGTTAACGAAAGAAGAGACCTCAACATCCTGAAATCGAGTTTCAAAGCCATGCACTTCCCAGAGTGGCCAGAGTATCTAAAGCTAGAACGACAAACTTGCGTTCGAGAACTGCGCTCAACCAATGCAGTTAGACTAGTCGTGCCAAAAGAAACTGGAACGTTTCAACATAGTGCTGCGAAACTTTTTAATTCCTTACCTGAGAACATCAGGAATTGTACTAATTACAAAGTATTTTTAAAATTAACTAAAGAACTTTTATTCGAAAGAGCACGCCAAAACTAGTTTTTAATCCGAACATCGATTTTATCTAATTTCAACACTTAAACGTTATAGTCCATAGTTACAGAATAGAATATAGTATTTAATTAGTATTTTAACAGGGAAGAGCCATATGTATGGATCTGTTGAATAAATCGTTATTATTATTATTATTATTATTATTATTAGACCCTTATGTGTGTTAATAGTCAAATACTTTCGTGTCTCTTCAGTGACCTCCATTTGGTGATAGACTTGGCGTAAGTCTAATTTTGTAAAATGCTTACCCCCAGCCAGATTGACAAAAATATCCTCGATATGGGGCAAAGGATATTGTTCTGCGATTAAAACTGGGTTAACAGAGACTTTGAAATCCCCACATATTCGTACTGAGCCATTTCGTATGACCACAGGTACAATAGGGGTTTCCCACTCACTATGTTCCACCTTGTTTAGAATCCCTTCCTTTTCAAGGCGTGTTAGCTCGGCTTCTACCTTAGGTCGCAAGGCATATGGCACCTGTCGTGCCTTACAGTATCGAGGTTGACAGTTCTAGTTTAATTTGAGATCCGCTTGGTGTCCCTTCAAGGTGCCCAAATCATCATCGAACACACTTTTATACTTTTTCAAAAGTTAATTTACCTTACCCTGTGTCTCATCGTCCGTCGCTTGGTTTACTTTAAGAGCTTTGATCTCGCCCCAGTCTAGTTTGATTACAGAAAGCCAATCACGCCCAAACTTGAATATCTAGCTGTCTTGTGTGGCCATCGAGACTAACAGTGCAATTGATCTTCCCTTTTGGATACAGCTTTTCCCCTGTGTAAGTTCTAAGTGTTATGTGACTAAACTTAGCTCTGTATGACTGATACGGGATAACTGAAACTGCAGAGCCTGTGTCTAGCTCCATTCTTAAGGGTGTTCTTTACCCATATTACGTTATCTTTGTTTCCCACTTTATTTATTTCTAAACTAGCCAGGTAATCATCGCTGTCTCTATATCATCATCAATATGATTTACTGGGGGTTTGAATCTATGTGTTTCTTCAAGTTGCTTCGTTTTCTACAAGCCCTCCAAATATGACCGCTCTTCTTACAATAATGGCAAATTGCCTTTCGCTGATGATCACCATGACAACGATAACACTTGGGGTCTGCAGGGGAAGGAGAAACGTCCCTTCCTTTCATGGCTTTCGTATTCCTGTTTTGCTCTTCAGGTTTATGATCTAACAAATTCACTGAATCTGATTCCTTATTCGTATGGTTTGAATCTCTCCCCCCTTGCATAGTTTCAACGTCCTTACATGATTGTTCAATAGCGATGCATTTAGCAACGGCTGTGTCAAAGGTTAGTTCTTCGAGCTTTTAAAGTTTT